CTTTAAAAAAAACCCTAAACCCTAAACCCTAAACCCTAAACCCTAAACCCTTGCTGCGGGAGAAAGGGATCAGTGCACTTTAAAAAAAACCCTAAACCCTAAACCCTAAACCCTAAACCCCAGGTTCAGAGTGAACTCCACGATGTCTGCGAGATTCAAGCGACCTTCTTTGCCTTTGCGGCCATAAGAGCCTGGGCTTGCTTCACACGGTTAAGGTTTAGGGTTTAGGGTTTAGGGTTTAGGGTTTAGGGTTTAGGGTTTAGGGTTTAGGGTTTAGGGTTTAGGGTTTAGGGTTTAGGGTTGAGTTTCGGGGTTACTTAAAGGATCATGGGACTTAGTAACTGAGGTTATAAATAAGGTAACTATACTTATAATTGCTTATAACTTCAATTACGGTACTTATAACCCTACTTACTAAGTCCCGAGATCCTCCAAGTAGGGTTAAAGCTGTGGAGTATAGGATTTTGCCCAACTGCAGTTGCGTCACTTGTGAAGCTTGGATTTCCGTTCGTGACTTGAAGCTGGAAAACGGGAGGCGGGCGCGGCTTGCGAGGGTTGGATGGAGAACTGAGGAGCAGACAGGTCTGTGGTAACTTGGGGCCAAGCCGCGAGTGGGGGAGATTGCAGCGCCGTGCGACATCAGCTTCTTAGGGGTACTTAGATCTTTTTTTTTTTTAAATCTTTGGCAACTATAAACCCTAAGAAGCAGCTAAAATTATAATTTTTGCTAGGGGTCTAAGTTCAGTATAGGCTTTATGATGTGCAAGAAATCCAAAGCAATGCATTTGCTTTCGCTGCGCTTCGGGCAGACGGGAGCGTGGTCACCTGGGGCGAAGACTGGATGGGAGGTGACAGCTCTTCTGTTCGTTTGGAGCTGCAGGACGTACTTCGCATCTACAGCAGGAGACATTCCGGCATGTTTGCTGCCATCAAAACCCGTGGCCGGATTGTATTTTGGGGCAATGCAGCACACTTCGGGGAGATCAACACCGGGCTTTCGAACATTGCACACTTTATATATGCTGGAGGACGTTGGGCGGCAGCTTCGGAGGATGGTAGTCTGGCGCTCAGCTACCGATCTATCGATGGCGAAAGGTGCATGCAAGTCCCGGATTGTGCTCTCAAGCTTGTTCATTGCTTGGACTGCATCGCCATTCTTCAAAAGAACGGAGAGGTGCTGTTCTGGGGACGCGCCATCCCAGGGTGGCTCCGTAACGAATTGAAAAATGTAGCCCAACTGCGGGTCACAAGAAATGCTTCTGAATGTGCCGCAATTCGATCAGACGGTTCAGTTGTAACCTGGCGTTTTCGATCCACGGGGGTCCATGTGGGTGCCCGACGGGCAGTTCGCAGCCAGCTGAGAAACATCAAACAAATACAGAGAAACGATTGTGGTTTTGCTGCTCTGCGGGAAGATGGTTCAGTCGTGACCTGGGGCACAAGCAGATTCTAGGTTCCTGAGTAGTACCCTTTTGCCCTTTTTATTGTATGGTTCCCTTATTAAAGCTGAATAACAGCAAAAAGCGCAGAAACCTAGGATTTGGCGGCAGCAGTTCCATCGTGAGGACGCAGCTGAAGGATGTGGTATGTATTCAGGCCAACAACCTGGCCTTCGCGGCGGTTCGTTGTGATGGATCCTTTGTCTCATCGATTTCCTTAAGGAGTTTTTCGGTTATATGGGCTTTTAAACAGGTCCCTCCCAGTGCTCCCTTCTCTCTCAATTTTTATACATATTTTTTTTATTCATATCCCCAAACCCTAAACCCTATATGCATGTTTTACTCATATATGTTTTCTTGGGTTTTGGCGGGTTCTCGACACCCGGAACCCTAAGGGTTCCCGTTGAGTCGGTGTGAATCCTTGCTTATTTTGCGGTTTTAGGTTTAGGGGTTTA